ATGGAAAATGTTCGGTGCCTCCATGCAGAGCTTGAAGATATAAAAATAGGTATTTCACACTGTGCAACACTGAGAGAGGAAGCACCCTAGTGGCTGTCGGAGTGAATGCCACTTGAGGTGTTACTAGGCAGCAATAAAAACACTTCCTTTTCACGGAAAAGGTAGTGTTTACATTAAAAAGTCTACAGGGACAGGCTTTAGACACCAGAACCACTACATTAAGCTGTAGTGGTTCTGGTGACTATAGTATCTCTTTAACCACACCAAATGATGTTCATGAGTTTTACTGCTGTTCAATTCCTTTCAGATCAACAAGACCAACAATCATATGTCCTGTGCAGAATGTAACAATAATGGTACTGTATTTCAGTACCATGATTTTTTCAAAAAAGACCTTGTAAAAAAAGATGGCATATGTTATGCTTTGTGGAAGTGTTATTACCACAAGTCTTGAACCAATTTGACAATCTACATGACATTTTAAAATACTGTTTGATTTAAAACTCAGCTTCCATTCCCTTAGAAATGTTATTAACTAATCGCTTCTGTGACAAGACCAATCTCGCCACTGTGCATTGGAGGAGCCTAGTGGCCTGCCTGCTGCCTTTTGACTATGGACTGGCATTTAAATACTTTATTTTCCTATGTAGAAAGGTCTATTCATGTATTTCTGTCCTGGCGTTCGGTAGATTCTCGGATTTACTGAATGAACTCATTTAACCCAGATAGCTATGCCATGGAGCCTATTTATGTAATAAAAGACTTTGGCTCCATGGCAATTGAACTGTATATGTGTCGTCTGAGCGCCATTCAGTAATAATGTGCGCTCAGACCTAAGCTATCTGGGGATATGTTGCATGTCTGTAATTTATGTAATAAATGTAACCTTGTGTATTTTATTGTATTTTACTGTCTTTTGCTACCATGTGGCTAATAGAGTTTTGCCTCTGTCCTTGGAGATAATTGGATTACTTCTCAATTATCTCCAGGATAGAAGACTCTGTGGAACTGGTTTTGGGCAGAAAAGCCATGCTTCATTTGGTCACAAAGGACTTCGATCTATCTTTTGACCCACTGGACCAATTTGTATGATTTTGACGTATGTTTGTATTTGGAGTATGCTGATTCTGAAAATGTAATACTTTTAAAGTTACGAATAATGTGGAAAAACTGTATTTCTCTGCCTGTGATAATTACATTAACCCATTGTGTAAGGTAATTGTATTACAGGCAGAGGGGAGGATTTTGTGTGGGAGTGTCTGAGTGTATTGTACATGTTTATTGGTTGTTTCATAAAACCCCGTGGGTGGTACTAATGTGTAAGAATGTGTATATAAGAACAATAAACCCAAAGCTCTCTCTGTTCCTGCTTGACCCTCAAAACAAGCCTTGTCTCGTTCTTGGGGGGATTTATTGTATGCTGTTCCAGTTTGATTGCTAGGAGTGTAAACATATTCGTATGGTTTTTCCTATTCAGTTGTTTACAGCATTCATGTGGTTCCGGTTCGGCTGTTTACGGCATTCATTTGTTTCCTGTTCGGTAGATTGGTGTCTTTGGTAGCTGCCTGTGTATCTGGAAGGGGAATATCCTCTAAACGGCATTTAACCCCTTTTATGCCCGGGGTGCTGTTACAGCTTCATACATACTTTATTCCTTTCATGAAACATATTTCCTTGATGTTCCGTGATGTCATGTTTAAAGTAGTGTTACTCTGTTGTCTTAAAAAACATTATTTGTCAAATTAATCCCATAGGAAGTGATCTTATTTTACTCATGAAAAATAAAACACATTGTCTATTCATATTTAGCTTCATGTATAATCTCTCCGTGGTATACTTAATTGGATTTTAGCCTGCAGAGAATAATATTGTATGGCTTATGTCAATTACATCATAAGGTTGAATCCTTTGCACAAAATATGCCTTTATGTTTCTTATATCAGGTGCTGTTATTAGAAACTCAAAGAAAAAGATCCAGATTTTCTCTGATGTATTCAGTTACCTCACAGCTCTCTATCAGGGATTTTAATATGGATTGAACATTTAACCCATTTAATGTGACATATCTAATGTGAATTTTTTTTTTTTAAATACGAAGAAACCATTGCGAAATCCATTCACTTTATTTGGGGTTACCTTTTCTAAATGCATTCAAAAAAAGTAAATTAATACATTTATACATACATTTATGCGCATGACAAGTACAGTAATAGTTGTGCATTCATATAATGGATGTTAATATAAATCAGGGGTACACAAAATGTAGATTCCCATATGCTACAACTCCCATCATGCTTTGCCAGCTTTAGAATGTCTTTTTGGTATATAAAATGAGCAGAAACTGACAAAATTTAGTAAAAAAGGCATGTCTGTTTCAATTTCTTTACTGTAAAATAACCTTGTGAGCAACATAGTTACATAGCTGAAGAGACTTGCGTCTATCAAGTTCAGCCTTCCTCACATTTGTTTTTTGCTGTTGATCCAAAAGAAGGCAAAAAAAAAAAGTTTGAAGCACAATTGTGCAACAAGCTAGGAAAGAAATTCCTTCTTGACCCCAGAATGGCAGTCAGATTTATCCTTGGATCAAGCAGTTATTACCCTACATTGAAATATTATATCCTTGAATATTCTGTTTTTGCAAGTATGCATCTAGTAGCTGTTTGAACATCGGTATGGTCTCTGGTAAAACCACTTCTTCAGGCAGAGAATTCCACATCCTGATTGTTCTTACAGTAAAAAAACTTATGTAAAGTCCACACTTATTTTATTAAAGTATATTTAAATAGTAGAAATAATAATACAAATTGGAGCTAAGAAACTGTTGTATAGCATAAGAGTACATAAATAGTTATTTTTTGCTCTGATTTTAAAACTGCAGAAACATTTTCTTAAAATTATAGCTTTTTTTGTCAATGTATAATATTTTAACTGTAAAACTAAGCATAAGTACTATAGGAAACAGAATCACTTGACACTGAAAGAACCACATTTAGTTTTTTTTCACGTGAGGTTAAATATAGCTTAGTAGCTATTATTTTATGACATTACCATGACTAGAATAACATACATAGTTAGAGGCTCTGGTCTGAACATGGTGTTCTCACAGAGCTGCAAAATAGACCAGATGTCTCTCAAATAAAGTAACTGGAGAGAAGCATACGGTTATGCCATTTCCACACTAGGTACTTGTGCTTCATGGTGGTGGCATTTAATATGTTCTTGTGGTATTTTTATGAGATGAATCGGTGGTAGAGAATCCACATGCTGGGTTTGTGATAAATGTGTTCCATATTCCATATTCATAAAAAAGGAAACAATATAATTAGGTATCCTTTATGGTAAACACAGCAAAGATCGAATGGATACATTTCAATATTTTTATATCATCATTGTTTTTTTAAAATTGGAATTGAGTACCCATTTAGCATGAACAGCACGTATTACAAATATGATATAATGTTGTAATGAATTGTCAAGACAGTTAATGTTATTAAAGCATGTCCTATGATCTATAACCATATTAAACCTTTTTAAAGTGGATCTGTCCCAAAAACATACTTCATCTATACAGCTGCCTGTGCCTGAATCTCTTTTTTTTTTTTTGCTTTCTGGACACATAAAATACATAAAGAAAAGTAGGGACCGCTTTTCTTTACATGTAGCAGTCAAGCTGTTAAAACTTTACAATGAGCGGTGTTTAAAGTAAGGTTCTGTTTCAGTTACCAATCAAATTTACACTCAATCCATCAGTAAAATTCCTCCCACAGAATAGCAAACAGCATATGAAAGAGAAAAACAAAATGGCAGCAACAATATATTGAGCTCTGGCTCAAGGAAGATGGAATGAACAGTATGTCTTCATTGTCTCTTTCAGAACGCACATATTACATAGAAACATAGAAACATAGAATGTGACGTAGACATGAAGATACATAGAATATTAATTAACTGCACAGTTAACCTGTGCTCCATTCATGTTAAACAAGAAAGGTCATAATTTAATAAAATACTGAATATCACCTATAACTTGTTTTAACATTTTTTTTAAAGGACACTAGAACTACTACAGCCTAATGTAGCCATTTTAGTGCAAAGAGACAATCTGTAAAGACTTCCTTTTCTGTTAAAAGTTGAAAAAAAAAACTGTTTTTCTATTCGTTGCTAAGGATACCTCAAGTGGCTCTCACTCAGACTTCCACTAGAGGTGCTTCCTCTCATGGTCCTGCAATCTTTGTATGACTGACTATAAGCATTTTCACGCTCTGTATTAAGACATGATCACTTCCCATGCACTGGGTTAATGCATCTCTATGAGGACATGGTGATTGGCAATTGTAACACTCATTACATGTACCCTCTATTTAGGCAAAAACAAATTGTTATTAGAGTGCTACATGCACCCCACCCCAAGCACAAATACATAGTTACTGGAGATCTCTAGACTGTAAGTCTAATATAAATATCACAAATGTGTTAGGTTATTTTTTTATTGATCAATAAATAAATGGGTGGGAATGTTTTAATAAAACATATATTAATCTGGAATCATATGTACTGAAAATAATTTTTTCTCCTTGGCAAAAGGAAAACAAATGAAATTAGAAATATGTTCTTACTATAGTAACATTTTAAAATAAAAGACAGTTAAGCCTCCTCCTACTCAGATTTCATTTGTAGAATAACCTTTCATAAAATATACATTTAAATATTACTGAACATTAAAGATCTCAGAAAAAAAACAAAAAAACTGCCTGTATCTTCATGTTATCCATTTTGAATATTTTATACACAATTAAAAAGTAGACACTTTCTTCCTTGTACTATTCTATGAAAAAAGCTACACCAATGCTACCCTACACATTATAAGGTGATACTCTGAGGTGACACTCTGAGGGAGCCGGCCGCGTTCCATGCTGGTGCCGCTGGGCTGGGGGGCAGCCTCGCCGGTCCGGCGGAACTCCTGTCACTAACGCTGAGGACTGAAGGAGGAGGGAGCATGTCTATCTACCATGCTCCCTCACGGTTCCCACCATTCCCAGCACACATACTGTGCTGGGAATTGTGGGAGCCGCAAGGGAGCATGGTAGATAGACATGCTCCTCCTTCAGTCCTCAGCATTAGGGACAGGAGTTCCGCCGTACCGGCGAGGCTGCCACCCGGCCCGGCGGCACCAGCATGGAACGCGGCTGGTCCCCTCTGACTTCTCTCGGTAAATGGGAGGGGGAAGAAAGGGAATAAAGAGATATAAGGTGAGGGGGGAAAATAAAACAGAGGGGGAATAGACACAGGGAAAGGAGGGAGAAAGAGACAGAGGGAGAAGAGTGAGAAGGAGGGGGAGAAAGAGGGGGAATAGAGAGATGGTGGAGGGAGGAGAAAGAGACAGAGGGGAAGAGAGAGACACAGAGGGAGAAAGGAGAGAGACACACAAGGGGAGGGGGAGAAAGAGGCAGAGGGAGAAGAGAGAGACTGGGAAGGAGAGGGGAGACATGGACACAGAGGAGCAGTGAGGGGGAGAAAGAAACGTACAGAGGGACTGGGGGCAGACAAAAAGGCACACAGGAGGACTGGAGAAAAAAAAGAGACACATATAGGGGCTGTATATATCACTGGTGGATCAGGGGGGGGGGCAACGGGGCAATTCAACGCTCCCCCCCCATGAGGCTCTCCCCTACTGGCCGATCTTCCTCCTCGCTCCACAGGCACCGTGCGGGCAGCCGGCAGGGCATGGAGGAAGAGAGGACCCGGGACCCGGGAGCTCAACCTCCTCTGGGTCCTTCTCGCGCGAGCACAGAGCGTTGCCGCGCTCCGGCTCTCACGAGAGTGAACTCTAGCCTCTAGCTACAGGCAAGAGTTCACTCTCACCACTGCGAACACCAGGGATTCCTGGTGATCGCAATGGTGAGGGTGAACTCTAGCCCCATATATACACTGCCCCCACACACACACCATACACATTCACACACTACCCCCATACACACAATGCCCCCACACACACCATACACATTCACACACTGCCCCCCCATACACACATTGCCCCATACACACACACTGCCCCCATACACACACACTGCCCCCACACACACACCATACACATTTACACACTGCCCCCATGCACACATTGTCCCACACACACATACACAGCCCCCCATACACACATTGCCACACACACATACACAGCCCCCCATACACACATTGCGCCACACATGCTACACATTCACACACTACACCCCCCACACACTGCACCCCTCAAACATTGCACCATTGCTCCTATACCCTACTACAGCCCCATATTCCAGCAGACCCCAGGTAAGTTGTCAAACTGTTGTTAAACAGTTTGACTACTTACTCTGGGAGGGGGCCCTGGCACTCCTGGCACCATATGCATGGATTATTTCTTTAAATAAACTACAAGTGCCCCTCCCGGGATCAGGCTCTGGATCCGCCACTGGTATATGACATGTATATTAATGTGTAATTATGTCTATTATATATTTACACATATATTAATGTATATTTATATATGCATAATACACAGAGAAATATCATTAATATGTACCATATGTAATGAGCAGATATTGGCCCAGTCTTGTTGCTAGATGCAGACTCCAGCACAATAACATATTTAAAGTAAAGAGCACCCACAGGACTTCAAAATAAACAAGATAACGTAATTTTTTACAGTTGTGCCCTACATACATTCACCATTTCAGTCCCATTACCAAGCTTTCCTTAATATGTCAAGGTAGTTGGACTGAAACATTGATTACATGCAAAGGCACGTCTGCTTAAAAAAAAATTTGCACTTTTGTTTTTACTTTGGAGTAATAATTTTTAATTTTAAGTTATCTTTTCTAACTCTGTATCTGCACACTATGCTGGCGTGACGCATTATGGGGCTGGTAAATGTTTTTTTTCCAGGGCTGCTTTTAATTCCCAGTTCGGCCCTGGATGGGGCCTCCATGGATTTGATTTGTTGTTCCAGCATTCCAATTAGATTGGGATCTGGGAAATTTGGAGGCCAAGGCAACACCTTGAACTCTTTGTTATGTTCCTCTAACCATTCCTGAAAAGTTTTTGCATTCTTGGAGGGTGCCTTATCCTGCTGAAAGAGGCCACTTCTATCAGGGAACACCATTGACATGAAGGGGTAACATCCACATGAATGCCAAAACCCAAAGTTTCCCTGCAGAAGTTTCCCTGCTGTCATCGCTTATCCAGGTAAACAATGCACATTCACCTGCCCATTGACCTGTTCTAAAAGAAAACATGATTCATCAGACTAGGCAACCTTCTTCCATTACTCTATGGTAATATTCTGCTCATGTTCCCATTAAAGGCGCTTTAGGTGGAGGACAGGGGTCCTCATGGGCACGCTTACTGGTCTGCAGCTACTCAGAGTCATATACAGCACACTGTGATGCACTGTGTGTTCTGACACCTTTCTATAATGGCCAGCATTACATTTTTCAGAAATTCAAACTTCTATGTGATCAAACCAGATGTGCTAACCATTGCTCCACACATGCATCGATGAGCTTTGGGCAACCATGACCCGATGCCAGTTCACATTTTTCTTTACTTGTAGCACCTTTGGCAGGTACTAACATCTGCATACCAGGACACCCCACAAAACTTGCTGTTTTGGAGATACTCTTTGACTCAGTCATCTGGCCATCGCTATTTGGCCCTTGTCAAAAGTGAACCGAAACATTGATTTGCTTAGGATATAAATAATAAAGAATTTTTGCCTGACCAGAGAGTGCTCTCTATGGATTTTATACAAATTTGCTCAAAGGTTTGCATACCCTGGCAGAAATTGTAAAATTTTGGCATTGATTTTGAAAATATGACTGATCATGCAAAAAAGTATATTTTATTGAAGGATACTGATACTATGAAGCCATTTATTATCACATAGTTGTTTGACTCCTTTTTAAAGGGACACTATAGTCACCTGAACAACTTCAGCTTAATGAGGTTGTTCAGTTGAGAACTATAGCTCCCTGCAGCCTTTCTCATGTAAACACTGTATTTTCTAAGAAAATACAGTGTTTACATTGAAAGCTAGGAACACCTCCAGTTGCAGTCACTCAGAGTGAACCAGAGGGACTTCGGAGTTGATGGAGGCATAATATGCCTCCATCCACTCAGATCTGCTGTCAGCAGAGCACAGGGCAGCACTGTACACATCATCCTGTGATTAAGTGTCTCCTCCCTCTGCATGCAGACACTGAACTTTCCTCATAGAGATTCATTGATTCAATTCATCTCTATGAGGAGATGCTGATTGGCCAGGGCTGTGTTTGAATCATGCTGGCTCTGCCCCTTATCTGCCTCTTTGTCAGTCTCAGCCAATCCTATGGGGAAGCACTGTGATTGGATCAGGCTACCACATTTCAGCAGACTGCTTGTTTTTCTGAGTCTAAAAGCAAGCAGATTTACAGCTTCAGGCTTGAATACAGTAAGATTTTTACTATATTTATGGAGGCATGAGGGGCCCAGGGGGGCTAGATGGTGGTGTTAACAGTATAGGGTCAGGAATACATGTTTGTGTCCCTGACCCTATAGTGATCCTTTAAATCATAATCATAACAGAAATAACCCAAATGACCTTGATCAAAAGTTTACATACCTTTGAATGTTTGGCCTTGTTACAGACACACAAGGCTAAACACACAGGTTAAAATGGCAAATAAAGGGTAATTTCCCACACCTGAGGCAATTTAAATTGCAATTAGTGTCTGTGTATAAATAGTTAATGAGTTTGTTAGCTCTCACTTGGATGTACTGAGCAGTCAAGCAGGGCCAGACTGGGGATACAAAGCAGCACTGGAAAAAATAATTTGTGCCAGCCCCATAAGTCACTGCGCCATATATTGTCGCGTGTAATATGTAAGGCTATGTCTTGCCAGGACAGATGATTGAGTAATATATATATATATATATATATATATATATATATATATTGATTTTTCTAATATAAAATATTGGTCCTTTCAGGGTAAAACGTTTAATTATACAGTAAGTATACTCACATGCAGACACAGGCAATTTCACTGACATCTCAATGACACACACAAGCTCATTGATACACAGCCTCATAGACAAACAATCTTACTGATATACATCAGCTCACTGACATAAAAACACAAGCTCACTCACTAGCAGGCACACGCATGCAAGCAAGCTCACTCACTAGCAGACGCACACACACAGCTTAATGTGGTGGTACTGGTGTCTATAGCATGTCCCTACAGGCTTTTCAACGTAAACACTGACTTTTCAGACAAAAGGCAGTGTTTACATTGCTTCAAAGTGACACTGCTAGTGACAGTCACTCAGACGGTCACTAGAGGTGCTTCCTGTGTTAGTGCACCTACATTCAGGGCCTCCACACTCTGTAGGTGCTAAACGTTCCCCATAGAGATACATTGATTCAATGCATCTCTATGAGGAGATGTTGATTGGAGTGGCGTTTTGCAGCCAATCCTATGGCAAAGCATTGGATTGGCTGAGATCTTTAACCCCTTAAGGACACAGCTTCAGAAGCTTGACTTACGCTTAATGACACAAGCAATTTTTGCATTTTCTTGCTGTTTGCGTTCAACTGCAATTTGCATCTCTCTCATTTATTGCACCGACACATATTATATACTGTTTTTTAAAGGACAGAAAGGGCTTTAATTTGATATAACATATATATATATAAATGCTTACTTATTATAAAAAAAATACAGAAAAATGCAAAAAAAATGAAAAATATTGTTTTTTTTTACAGTTTTTGCAATAATAATGTGTGCATAATTAGTGCAGGTTAAGGAAAGTAATTAAAAATAAATTTATTTATTTGTTCTGATTTACAGAATATATAATGTGTCTGGGATTTTAAGTTTTTTTTGGTAGTTACAGGTCACAAAGCACAAGGAGTAAAATAAACTTTTAATGTGGAGCGATTTTAGAATTTGGTATGTTTGTCTTGTAAGCTTAATAGCCATAAAAGAAAACAAAATTGCCACACAAAAGTATATATTTATATAAAGTAGACATCACGGGCTATTTACCTAAGGTTGTTTTGACACTTTCTACGTAGCC